TAAAATGTCAGATGACATGCCCTGGAGATGGGGAAGAGGAGCAGTCAAAGGGAGAAGTCAAACACATACAAGAGTGAGATACAGACGGGATTGGGAGCCCTGAATACCTTGCCAGCTCAGCTGGGAGTTTAGAAAGAGGAAGGGCGGTGTGAATACATGAATGCTGGACAGTAGAGGGGGTTATTGGCCCACACATTTCTGTATCTGCTCAGGGGGAAGGGAGGCAAATGTGGGGTTAGGGATGGGAGAATGATATTTTGGGATGGCTGATGGGAGGAATGACCAGAGCACAGACAGGATACCCAGTGGCCCTGAGGACTCCTCCCCACCTCCTCTGCTGGCCAAGGCTAGAGAGTAAGACTCTGTAGTGACCCTGTTTATTGGGTCATGATTTTCTCCAGTGTCACTCAGGTTCCTGAGTGTGAGAAAAGGGACAGTGCTTGGTTGTAGAGAGCCAGAGTGGGGTTTAGGTAGGGGGGTGTGACACAGAATTGAAGGGAACAGGGGCTGAGACTACCAGCCAGAGAGTAAAGTGATGGAGCCCCGGATTTAGAACAGGAAGGCCGTTCGTTTTTTGACTTCCCTTCGAAGGGAAGTCAAAAGCCAGGTGTTTCTGAACCCATGCCCCCAGCTCCATCACCATTGTGCAAAAAAACCATGGCTGTCCTTTTAGAAGCACTCTGGATGCACTCTATGCTCTCCACATGCATTCAGATATTACAAAAGTCTGAATGTTAAAACGTCATTGTGTCACAGGTCTGAACTCATGTCCTTCTGCCCCACCTCCCCTTAACAAAGAAAAGTAATTGCATGCTCAGAGTTGTAAATTTCTTAGCAAACAAGACAAGAATGGTCACAGAGCACTGGTGTGTTGGTCTGCTGTTTTTTAGTTGATGTAAATGTTTGCTGTAGAAATAACCACATTTACCTACCCACCATCTTGACTGAAAGTCCTCTGTCTGTATCATTGAAGAGACCTTTCCATCTTTTTTTTTTTTTTTTGTACAGATAGAGTGGGAGGGAGAGAGAGGAAGGGAGAGAGAGAGAAACATCGACGTGAAGGGACACATCGAGTGGCCGCCACCCGCACGACCAACCAGGGCCAGGGACAAACTGCAACCGAAGTACGTGCCCTTAGCGGGAACCGAACCCGGGTCTCTCCGGACTGCAGGCTGACGCTCTAACCGCTGAGCCAAACCGGCCAGGGCTACCTTTCCATCTTTTTGTTGTTGTTTTGTTAATCCTCACATGAGGATATTTTTCCATTAATTTTTAGTTAGAGTGGAAGGGAGAGAGTGAGGGAGAAAGACACACACATCCATGTGAGAGACACATGGATGGGTTGCCTTCCACACAACCCCAGCCCAGGCCAGGGATTGAACCTGCAACCCAGTTATGTGCCCTTGATAGGGAATCAATTGCGAGACCCTTCTGTCCTCGGGCTAATGCTATAATCGCTGAGCCAAACCAGCCAGGGCATACCTTCCCATCTTAAAATGCATTGGACATAGTTTCTTATCTTAGAGAATGATGAACTTGCATGCTTTGTAGGAAGCCAGAGGAAGGAGAAATTGATCTAACAGAAGGTATCCTTTATTCACTCAGCAACCAGTGGAGGACTTCTATGTGCTGGATGCTAGGAATGCACAGATAAATGAGACCCAGCTCTTTGGGGAGATAGGTACATGAGTAATAACAAGCTCACCATAGTGATAGGCATGGGGTTCCTGGACAGCTTCTCAAAGGAGGCAGTGGTCTGGCTAGGTCTCATGGATCAAGTCAGAGAGCAGGTACAAAGGCACAGAGGCAAGAAGCAGTCTGGCAAGGAATACACAAGGACCAGGACATAGTCAAATGCTTGGGTCTGAGAACTTTTGTGCAGATGTGACTCTGTCCACCCAGGCTGTCTTTTACTGGGGTTTTACTGTACTTCTGTCCTCAGCCAAAAGGAAGAGCTCAGAGCCCTGGCTGGCATGACTCAGTGGTTAGAGTGTCGGCCTGCGCATTGAAGGGTCACAGCGCACGTACCTGGGTTACAGGTTTGGTCCCTGACCCCCATTGGGGCGCATTTGGGAGGCAACCAATTGATATGTTTCTCTCACATTGATGTTTCTCTCTCTCTACCCCCCCCACCCCTCCCTTCCACCCTCTCTCTAAAAACAAAACAAAACAAATTCTTTGGTGAGGATTAACAAAAAGAGGAAGAACTCAGACTGTCAGAAAAAGCCAAGAAAAATTGTTTTGTGAAGAAAGCATCAGAAAACCAAGATGTGTTTTTCTAAATAAGCAGTGACTGGCTGACTTTATAGTTGTGTGTGAAATGGTATGTTCAGGAACCCCTGTGATGGCTGGTACCTCCAAGTCTCAGAATTGGGAGGACCTCAGAGGGCAAGAGGGAAACTGAGGACCCAGGAGGAAACGGGACATGGGCTGTGAATCAGGCCAGCTGGGTGCCACACCTAGCTCTGCCACAGACTGGCTGGTAATCCTGAGAGAGTAACCAGGCTAAGTATGTGTCCTCAGCTATGAAGTAAAATGATGAGCAGACAGAATCCAAATCCTGGTTGTCAGGATGCAGTGACAAGGTACCTGGCAGATAGAAAGTGCTGACAGCCTGGCTGGTGTGGCTCAGTGGTTGAGTGTTGACCCATTCATCAAGAGGTCGCCAGTCCGATTCCTGGTCAGGGCACATGCCCAGGTTGTGGGCCTGATCCCCAGTGGGGGGTATGCAGGAGGCAGCTAATCGATGTTCTCTCTCATCTATGTTTCTATCTTTCCCTCTCTCAAAAAAAAAAAAAAAAAATCAATAAAGAAAAAAAGAAAGTGCTGACAGATAAATTAGAGAAACAGCAAAATAAATAAATAAATAATTGAATGAAGCAAGCTTACCTTAAACATTTTATCTTTTTTTTTTTTTTTTTTTAAGATTTTTAATTGATTTTTAGAATGAGAGGGAGAGGGAGAAAGAGAAAATCAATATAACAGTGAAACATAGACCTGCTGCCTCTCAGCTGCCTCCTGCACATCCCCTGCTGGAGATGGAGCCTGAAACCTGGGCATGTGCCCTGACCAGGAAGCGAACCACCAACCTTTCAGTTTCACCCAACCAGGGCTTAAACATTTTATCTCAATTTAAAACACTAAGTTTTCTGCAACTTTTTTTTTATATACTTCATTAATAATTCATTACCTGCCATTTCCAGTGTTTACTAATAATCCAGTTTTGTTTTTATTTTATTTATATTTTTTAGTTTATTATTATTTTTATCCTCACCTGAGGACATTTCTTTTTGCATTTATCTTCAGACAGACCAGGAGGGAGAGAGGGGCAGAGAGAGAGAGAAACATCAACATGAGAGAGACACATTGAGTGGTTGCCACCCACATGACTCCAAATGGGGCCGGGGACAAATTGCAACCGAGGCAACCAAACCTGGTCCGCAGGCTGACGCTGTAACCGCTGAACCAAACTAGCTAGGGCCAGTTTTGTTTTTTTGTTTTTTTTTGAATCCTCACCTGAGGATATTTTTCCATTTTTTGTACAGATAGAGTGGGAGGGAGAGAGAGGAAGGGAGAGAGAGAGAGAAACATCGACGTGAAGGGACACATCGAGTGGCTGCCACCCGCACGACCAACCAGGGCCGGGGACAAACTGCAACCAAAGTACGTGCCCTTAGCGGGGACCGAACCCGGTCTCTCCGGACCGCAGGCCAACGCTCTAACCGCTGAGCCAAACTGGCCAGGGCGGGCCAGTTTTGTTTTTAAAGAGTAAAAACCTAAAGGCCATGGCAAAGTGATCTGTACACAGAGTCCTAGATTTTTATGATGTTTGCCCCAATCTATAGTTGTCTCCCTCCTATCTGATTTAATAGTTTTTAAAAAATTAGACGCACTTTTATTCATTCAATTTAGCTTTATTAGACAGCTGTCGCTATTTTTTACCATTTCACTGGCTAACATGATATTTAATTGAATTACATTATTATAGTCATGTGTATAGTGTAAGGACAAACATAATTAACTCCTTTTCTTCCCCCATACATTTAAAATATCTTTTGCCCTGGCTCGTTTTGCTCAGTGGTTAGAGTGTCAGCCCTCAGACTGAAGAGTTGCACCTTTGATCCCTGGCCCTGGTGAGGGTTATGCGGGAAGCAACCAATCGATGTGTCTCTGTCACATAGATGTTTCTCTCTCTGTCTCCCTCCCTCCCTCCCTCCCTCCCTCCCTCCCTCCCTCCCTCCCTTCCACTCTATCTTAAAATCAATGGGAAAATATCCTTGGGTGAGCATTAACAACAAAAAATATTTTAACATTCTTTTATATATATAAAATTTTATTGATTTTTTTTTTTAGAGAGAGATAGAAACATTGATGTGAGAGAGACACATCGATCGGCTGCCTCCTGCATACCCCCACTGGGGATCAAGTCTGCAACCCACAACCCCTACATGTGCCCTGATGGGGAATTGAACCGGGACCTCTCAGTCCATGGGACTGATGTTCAATCCACTGAGCCACACCAACTGGGCTGTAATTAATTATTGATGGGATGCCTCATCTGGTGGGAACAGAATTATGCAGGTACACTAGACCCCAGGTTGACTGCAGGCTGCAGACATCTCCCAAAAGGTTTAGAAAGGGATACAGCAGGTTGGTGACAGGAAGGTCCATCTAAGAAAGCATCTATACTATTTACAAATAGAATTATTGATCCTCATTTCAAAACAGCAAGTTGATGTTATAAATTACTATGTGCCTCGGGGTTAGGCGGATTTTCTTGTTCTGGAAATTTGGGCGGATTTGTATGTCCTTTTGAGTCTGTTTTCTCGTTTATAAAATAGGGATGTCATTCCTGCCTCTCAGGGCAGCTGTGTGCATAAAATAACAAAGTGTCACCCACGGGAGATACACAACCCTGTTTCTCCTCCCACCATGGAGCTAATTCAGATTAGCCACTCTGGGGTGAGTTTGGTGCTGACCTTGATTTTCTATACTTTCAGAAGTCAGGTTCCTAGCCCATCTATCACCACCTCCAGTGCCAATCGCCAGCTAATGATGCTGGAAGGAAAGTCAGGACCCTACTTTTCCTCTCTGGATTCAAGCATTGAGATCCTAAAGAAAAGGGCACAGGAGCTGATCGAAAACATCAATGAGAGCAGGCAGAAGGACCATGCACTCATGACTAACTTCAGGGACAGCCTCAAGATCAAGGTGACAGATTTCCTCATCTACACTGCAAAGTTCCAGTGGGTGGGGTGAGGAAAGTCCTTATGTAAAAGGTGAAGGGTGGGGGGAATGAACTATTGCTGAGCATGATATATTCCCAGCATGGTGCCAGACAGTTTCCATTTGGTACCTCATTTTACCCTTTCAACAGTCCTGCAAAGAATGGACCCATTTTATAAATGGGAATAGTAAGGTTTAGACATAATTTTTCCAAATGAGAGAGCCAGAATGAGGGACCAAGGTCTATTTGCACCCACAGCCCAGCCCTTTATTACACATCAGGACTAATGGCTATGGTAGTAGGGGGTTAAGGAATAGCCTGCATTAACATAGCCATTTGTCCTCTAAAAGTCAAGTGGTTTGTGTTGGTAGAGTAGGGATCCCTCGACATGACCAGGGCTTATGTCTAACAAAGCCTGTCTTAGTGTTAATGATTGTCCCTGATACTTCAGAATGTACAAGGGATCTCATGAGTGGGACATCTCTTGATAATAGAGATAATTGATCATTTTCCCTACCTTTTTTGCTCCCCTCCCATCCCTACTAGTACACAGAGCATAGAAAATTAAGTAAAGTATAACAGCAGAAAAAATATAAAAACACTTTGCTACTTTGTTGCATATTTTCTTCTAGTCTCTGTTATACTTACTTTCTAACCTGGTGGAGCCTATACTGTATATATAAATTTGCAATCTTGCTTAAAAAAAATTTTTTTTTTAATTTTTATTTATTTATTTAGGTATGTGCCCCTAGCAGGACCCAAACCTGGGACACTCTGGTCCGCAGGCCAGCACTCCAACCGCTGAGCCAAAATGGCCAAGGCTCCATTTATTTTTTTTAGAGAGTGTGTAAGGGAGGGAGGGAGAAAGAAACATTGATGTAAGAGAGACACATGGATTGGTTGCCTCTAACACCCGCCCCAGCCAGGACCAGGAATCAAACCTGCAACCCAGGTATGTGCCCTTGACCAGTGAAATGAACCCGAGACCCTTCAGTCCGAAAGCCAATGCTCTAACCACTGAGCAACAATGGTCGGGGCCAAAAAATTTTTTTGTTAATCCTCACCTGAGGATATTTTTCTTTTGCCTTTTTAGATAGAATGGAAGAGAGGGAGGGAGGGAGAGAGAGACACACACACATTGATTGGCTGCCCCTCCTGCACAACCCAGGCCAGGGATCAAACCTGCAACCCAAGTATGTGCCCTTGACCGAGAATTGAACCCATGACCCTTTGGTCCGTGGGCCACCGCTCTAACCGCTGAGCCAAACCGGCCAGGGCCAATTTTTCTTAATATAGGCAATTTCACTCCTAGTCACTGGAGTTGTTTTTACCATTTTTAATGATAAACTGCAGAAATCTTAGGGAGCCACTTAAAACACAGTCTTGTGATGCCTCTGGTTTGATTTTTCCAAGAACATGTCTTTTTTTTTTTTTTTTAATCCTCACCCGAGGACATTTTTCGATATTTTGTTCAGATACAGGGAGAGGGAGAGAGAGAGAGAGAGAGAGAGAAACATCGACGTGAAAGTGACACATCGAGTGGCTGCCACCCACACGACCCAACCAGGGCTGGGGACAAACTGCAACCAAGATACGTTCCCCTAGCGGGAACCAAACCCGGGTCTCTCCGGACCACAGGCCGACGCTCTAACCGCTGAGCCAAACCTGCCAGGGCAAAGAACATGTCTTTTTGTTTAAAAGGTTTCGGACCTGACAGAGAAGCTAGAGGAGAGGATGTACCAGCTTTATAATCACCACAACAAGATCATTCAGGAGAAGCTCCAAGAGTTCACCCAGAAAATGGCAAAGATCAGCCATTTGGAAACAGAGCTCAAACAAGTGTGCCACACTGTGGAGACCGTGTATAAAGACCTGTGTGTCCAGCCAGAGGTATGACTAAACCCACACAAGGGGTGGTGCCTGAGGAGAACTGTAGGGGCTGAGATGAAAGTAAATGTCAACAGAATTGGGGGCTCCTGCCATCTCGCTTGTGGCTCCAAGATCTATAAACACGGTGTGTTGGAGCTGAGAAACCAGCCCACTGTTATTTCATTGCTATGTGGCCAGCTCTGTGTGGTGACAGAAAGAACAAAGTCCCCTCCACCTACATCCCTGAGCAGTGCCTAACCAGGTTTACTTATTACAGCAGAGCCAAAGATGCAGACATGGGCCAGGTCACTGTGGAGGCAGGGGGAAATCCCCACCACATCTGAGCACCTCACAGCTCCCATACATGTTCATTTTCCCTGTGACTGAAAGGACCACTCAGGTGGTTACAAGTAACTGTGGCCCAATATTGAGGATCAGATGTGCAGACTCTTTTATTTTATTGTTGACAGTATTACAAATGTCCCCCTTTTCCCCCCATTACCCTCCTCCCAGACTGTTTATTATTCTTTCTTCCCCCTCATTCTACCCCAATGTAAATCTAAGGCACTTATGTTATGTTCAGTTCCAGTGTTAATGCTTGTCCCTGATGTTTCTTCAGAATGCACAGGGGATCTCATGAGTGGGACATCTGACCCTCCCATCTGGAGTAGCAAGATGGGTGGGTCAGAGGGCACACAGGGAACTCGAGGAGCAGGGGGGGCTGCTCAGTCAGCCACTAGGTCAGGTCTCACAGAGGTTGCTTTGGTGTCACTCTCTTTCCTCTCCCTGATCCAAGTCAAGAGAAGCTTCTGTTCCAAGGTAGTGGGGTCTGCTGGATTGAGAAACTTGGTACAGAGAGCCCCACTTCTTTTAAGGAGCACATTTGAGTGACTTCAAAAGGGAAAATTTGAAATTTAAAAATCAGTGTCTCTCACCTCCCACCATAAAATGGCTCCATCTGCGACCTCCCTGAGTAAACTCAGAGCACAGCAGATCCCTGGGAAGGGATTGGGACCATCCAGGCTCCTGGGGTGAAGTGTATTCACTTGCTGGTGAATGCCTGGATCCCTGTGATTGCCCTTCCGAGGATCAAAGCATGAATGTCGTGAGTGCCTGGAAGATAAATACACAGTCGGTTTGGAGTCTTAAAAACTCACAGCTTCCCTTTAAAGACAATCTTTATGTCCCCTCCCTAGGCTACTACTTTGGAAGAAGAACAAACCCATAAAGATGGCAAATGCTGACAGCTTCTGAGAGAGTCGCCTCTTAGTGACAGCCACCAAGAGAAGGTTCAGAGGCCACTGTTCTGACCACACTGAAAAAATGGTTTTTCAGTTCTGTAGTGTATCTTGGCAAAAACAAAAAAACAAAATTTGTGCCAGACCCAAAGGTAGCAAGTCCAGCCGCCATCATGGGCCCAGATTTGATGTCTCCAATATGTGGCAAATTTATTCCACCCCAGCCCTGCACAGTTCATTAAATGTTTTTCAATCCAGCTATGCTTCCTTCCCACAGAGGTGGAGGGTTCTGATGGGCTCTGGAAACACATCAGGCCCTTTCTCATCCACAGGAGGGATGGGAAAGCAAACATCACTTAATGGCTCGCCCAGCTGAGCTACTCTGTCCTGAAGCTGCCATCCACATCCTATGCCCTTGAGTCTGGATAACACTTTACATGCCTCAGTGCTCTCATTTGCTCTTCTTCAGCTTCCAGGGGCAGAAGGGAGAGATTATAGTCTCCCTTATATGGAGCAAAATGATTCTGTTTACTTTCTGAAGTGCACACCTGACCCCTTCCTTCCCCTTCATAAAACCATCTGAAGAACCCCCTCTTCTTACCCTCAGGGTCATGCCCATGCCCCACCTCTTCTTGCCATTTCTGGAATGTCTCATCCAGAATAGCACACAGAAGCTGTTTCACTGTCTCTGCCTAGGGAGCTCCTACACATCCAAGGACTCAGTCCCACTTTTTCTACCTATGTTTTCCCATGAGGCAATAGGTTCAGGGCCCCATTTGTGTCACAAGCAGTTGCCAGCTGCAAACACCACAGTGCAAATGGTTCTTAATTTTTTTTTCAATCCTCACCCGAGGATATTTTTTTTCCATTGATTTTTTTTTAGAGAGAGAGTGGGAGGGAGGGAAAGGGAGAGAAACATCGATGTGAGAGACACACATCAATTGGTTGCCTCCCACACAACCCGAACCAGGGCTGGGGAACGAACCTGCAACCCAGGTATGTGCCCTTGACCAGAATCAAACCCACGATCCTTTGGAACATAGGCCAATGCTCTATCCACTGAGAAAACCAGCCAGGGCAATGGTTCTTTTTTTTTTTTTCTCTTAACATGGAGTGGTCTGTGTGTACTCTCCTTTGCATCACCAGCTCACTGGGCATCATGGTCCACTCTGGGGCTGCCAGAAGAATCCATCAGCAGGCTTGAGAATACCTCATCTCCAAGTATCACGAAGGAAAGGCCAGAGAGCACCTCACATCCTACATCCCCATGTGAGACACTCCAGATGAGGGATACAGGGTGGGACCTGCCTCAGGTCATGCTGCCAGTGGCGACAGCTGGGAATAGGACTCAGGTCTGCTGTCCCTACCCCTCTTCCCCAGACAGTGATGCCACTGTAACCATCCCCATTCCCTGAAGGATCCAGGCCCCACCTTCATAGGTGTTCACAGCCTCCAGGTTCATGGCATGCCGGATCACATGATATTCGTCAGAAATCCCATTTCCCCCCAGCATGTCTCGGGCCTGGCGGGCGATGTCCAGGGCCTTCCCACAGTTATTTCTCTTCAGCAGGGAGACCATTTCCGGGGTGGCCCTGAGAGCAGCACAGATGTGCAACAAGTATTGATTACAAAGAAATGACCCTGTTCCAGGCACCTCTACATCCTAGGCAAACTGGCCACGGGGAGGATTCTCCACATTACAGTCAAAGCAGCAGATACCAAGCTCCCAATGAGAGATAAGCAGGGTGGGCCTTGGCCCATGGGGGCCATGAGAGAAGAGGGACCAGGACCCTAAGGGCCACCAGGCAGGAAGGACCTTTCTCCTCAGGGCCAGCAACTACCATACCCAGGAGAAGCACAGAGCCCTTCTGCCACAGCTATCCCACTCTGCCTCCCCCTACAACTGGCCCCTACTTGTCTTGATCCTTCAAGCGGCCAAGCTGCAGGCAAGCATGAAGGCCCAGCGTGATCTCAGTGAGCATGTCCGCCAGCTTCTTCTGAATTAGCTGGTTCCTGGCCAGTGGGACACCAAACTGAATCCTAGGTAGGCAAAGTCAGGGTAAGTTCAAGAGGGGGTCCCAAGCCCCAGTCCTATCCCAGGGCCCCATTGGTCTGGGAAGCCTTTCCAGGCTGCCTCAGCCCCTGCCTAGCTTGCCCTGGCCCTGTTGTTGACTTGGCCCATCAGTGCTCAGAAGGACTTCCCTGGCCATTTCACAGAACAGGGAGCTTAGGTCTGGTGGGTGGGGGCTAGGGAGTCACCAGTGGGGTACAAGATAGAACCTGAGCTCTACCTTGCCCCCAGGAGCTCTCAGGTTAGCCCCCACTTACCTGTCCAGGGTGTACTGCCGGGCTGTGTGCAAACAGAACTCAGCAGCTCCAAGCGTGCCCCAGGCAATACCATACCGGGCATTGTTTAGGCAGCCGAAGGGACCCTGTAGGATTGACACGGTACCTTACTCCCATCGGGAAGGAGCTTAGAAAGTCTGTGCAGAACCAACTCTGAATCAGGGAAATACCCTCTCCTCAGATACCCAGACACATAGTCAGTGGTAAATTGGGGCGGGGGCATGGGGGGCAACTCAGGGAAGCCATTTAAATCACACATGGCCCTGGCACCAAAGCTCTTGCATGGTAGGCCTTGCTCAGCGCCTACTCATTCTTGGTTTGTACATAGGTCTACCCAGTTCAGGATCTGGATTGGCTACTCAGATCTAGGGGCTGACATAAAGAGACGGGAAGATGTACATACACCAAAGGATTAAGCTGGTTCAGGCCCAATATGTCCTGGGCAGAGCCAGTATGAGCTAGATAGTCACCAGAAAGGGACAGCACACAGTAACTCTGTCTGGCCCCCCAGCTGAGTCCCTAGCACAGGGCCTGCCCAAGAAAGGTGAATCAGCATGTGACAACACCAGTTCCTAAGGTGGCTTCTGCTCACCGCCAGCCCAGAGGCACCGGGCAGTATGTTTTCCTCCGGCACCTCCACAGCATCCATGACAATCATGCCCGTGGCTGAGGCCCGCAGGGAAAACTTGCCCTCGATCTTGGGGGTAGAGAGACCCCGCATCCCCTTCTCCAGCAGGAAGCCCCGAATACAGTTATCTTCACACCGAGCCCACACTACAAACAGGTCGGCCACAGGCGAGTTGGTGATCCTGGGGGTGGGAAAGGCAGTAAGGGTCTGGCCATCACTCCTCTGCCCCTCCCCACCCACCTGAGGTACCCAGGCCCCTCACCAGGTCTTGGTCCCATTGAGGGTGTAGCTCCTGCTAGACACATTATGGCGGGCTCTGGTCTCCATGCTGCCAGGGTCACTCCCGTGGTTGGGCTCTGTGAGTCCAAAGCAGCCAAGGAGCTCCCCTTTGGCTGTAGGCATGAGACAGGGTCATGATACCCTCAATTGATAAATGTCACCCTCTCCACTGAGCCAGGCTAAGGCAGATCTGGCCCTGCCTTCACAGCACTTCTAGGTGGTAAAAGGACACCCCCCCACCCCCAGTCACAATGCTGTGATGGGTAGGGGACCCACAGAAGTCAGGAAGGAGTCACCTAAACTATCTTGAAGGGCTGTGAAAGGAGGTGTGGAGAAGAGCAGTCCTGGCAGTGGGGAAAGCATGTACAAAGGCCCAGTGGTACATTTAGAGTTCCAAATAGCTGAGTCTGACTAGGGCAGAACAGTCAACAGAGTGACCACAGATGAAAGTGAAAGGTCACCAGAGGCTTCTTGGATTCAGTTAGGAAGTTAAGACTTTAAACTTTGGGCTGGGATGGGAGAGAGAGAAGCAAATCAAGAGGGAGAGGGAGCCTGACCAGTGTGGCTCAGTGGATTGATCATTGTCCCATGGACTGAGAGGCCCCAGTTTGATGTTTGATTCCCTGCCAGGGCCCAATCCCCAGTAAGGGGCGTGCAGGAGGCACCCAATCGATGTTGTTTCTTTCACATCCATGTTTCTATATCACCCTTCCTCTCTTTCTAAAAAAAAAAAAAAAAAAAAAATCAATAAAAACATATTTTTTTAAATAAGAGGATAGGGAGATGACAGTGGTGAGAAAGGGCCAGAGAGAGTCAAGAGAGACCTAAGAGGGGACTGTCAGAATTAGATGTGGGGATGAAGTCCAGGCTCTGGCAGAGGGTCCAGGTGACTGTTGGTACTATCCTTGAAATGAGGACAGAAGGTAGGCTCAGGGGATAGTCTTGTCCCTGAGTTCCAGATCACTGGGACTATCTCCTATCAGGCTACATGGGAAGCCACTCACCCAGCCGGGGCAGATACTTCTGCTGCTGCTCCTTGCTGCCATATGCATAGATGGGGTGCATGACAAGGGAAGACTGGACACTCATTGCTGACCTGTAGCCACTGTCTACCCGCTCCAGCTCCCGGGCCAGGAGCCCATAAGCCACAGATGAGGCTCCAGCACAGCCATACCCTGGTGGGGAAAGTGGGGAGGGGAAAGAGGGCAATGGGGGACAAAGCCTGCCCATCTGGGACCAGTGACTCCTGAGGCCCAAGAGAGATACATAGAGGCACCCAAGGAGGGAGCACCAAGCTGGCCCTAACTTGAGGGTTTATATTCATTTTATTTCTACAGTTGGATGGAGGGAAAACCGCTCACTTTACAGACTAGGAAACAGGCTCAGGGAAAGGAAGGCGCTTTCCAGCACACAGTTGGGGCTGCAGAGTGTGGAGAGAAACTTGTCCCTACCTTTGATAGTGGGGCCCAGCACACCAAGCTCCCCCATCTCAGAGATGATCTCCCGGTGAAAAACTGCAAATGGACAGATGCCCAAGTTCAGGCTTAGCCCTAGCCCACCGGAGCCCCCATCCCAGGGACAGAGAGGCCCAGAGGCTTAGCTAGGGCAAGCAGAGGCGGTGTGTATGGTGGAGGGTGCCCACTAGCCCGCCTGGGCACCTTCGTTGCGATTGGCGAGCAGGATGCGGGGCATGAGGCGCTCCTGGCAGTAGGTGCGAAAAGTGTCCCTGATAAGGATCTCATCAGCTGTCAGCTGCTCCTCCAGCACCAGCGGGTCCCTCCAGTCAAACTCAGGACGCAAGGCTGGGACAGAGAGCAGGGGCTCAACTCAGCCCAGCGCACACCTTCAGCCCACCACACCCTCCTCTCCCAGAACCCTCCACCCCCATCTGGCTCGAGGTTGGATGTGGGCTGCAAACTGGGCTGGCCAGGGGGTCTTCCTCGGGGAAGCTCACTGCTGACTCAGCGTCTCCGGCACTAGCCACGGCCTTGTCTCCCTGCCCGGGCTGCCCTCGGACTCTGGGACAGAGCCCACCCTTGGCAGACAGACGGTAGGACAAGGGCCTCAAACGTACGCGCGCCGAGGGGTCCTTACATTTGGCCGGTCGGTTCTGTGTCTTCCCACCCTTTTCTGCAAACACAGGACGAGAAAATCACCCTGGAAAAGTCCCGGAGTCTTCAGTTCCACCCTTTCCCCCTACAACCCCTACCCGGCACTGACCGGTCAGCGCCGTCGCCGAGCCCCACGCGCGCAGAAAGCACAGGAGGGGTCCGCGGCTCAGCAGCCGCCCGGAGACGCCTCTCAGGGCCATGTAGGCAGCGGGACGAGCGAGCAAAGCAACCACAGCCAACCTGGAAGAGCGGGGACGTCAGAGCGGAGTGGCTCCCACTTGCGGGCCTGACCCCTTGCGCCCCCCGCCCCTCCTGCTAGTCCCTACTAGGCGCCTTGATACTCCGCTCACAGGCCGCGGTGCAACTGACAAAGGCTTTTGACCTCAGGCGGGGGTGGGAGGGGCGGAGGCCAAATGAGACTTCTCATTGGTTGGTCCTGAGACTCGCTCCATCATGGGTCTACATTTTAAAAGGGCAATGGCAGGCTTGCCTGAGGAAGCCGGCAGACCTAAACCAAGGAATGTTAAAAACAGGAAAGGGCGGGAGAGGGAGGTGGGGGAGGGAGGGAGGGGGGAGAGGGAGAGAGAGGGGGGAGAGGGAGGGGGGGAGGGAGGCACACACACACACACACACACACACACACACACACACACACGATTGGTCACCTGTATTCCTGCTCTGATTGGCCATAGGAGGGGGCTGGGCTCACTCTTGGTTGGTCCGTTGCAGGAGGCGTGTACGAAGGGATTCTGGAGTTAAACGAGATAACAAGAGAAAAATACATAAGTTCAGACCTGGAGGTCTCCTCTAATGAGGTGCTGTGTGTGTAAGGAGGAGGTGGGCTCCGGTGGGCCATTTCAGCCCAACCTGTCTGCTAGTCTGTCCTAGGAAACACGTGTAGCCGCAAGTGGCTGTGTGTGACTTGGTGTGATTCCTTCTGCTATGTGGTTCTGTGCATCTGTGTGTCTCTGTACCTGAGTGACTGTGTATCTGTATGTGGGTGGGACTGACTATGCCTGTGACATTTAGGACCGTTGATGGTGGGTAGTTGTGTTACTGTCTGGTGTCTGTAAGTATAGCTAAATGTCTTTGTAGTTTCTTGTCTGTGTAATTGTAAGCTTGTATTTGTGTGATTGTGTGTCTGTGTATGACTGACTGTTTTTCTCTCTAGGTGTATCTGTTATCTTTGTGATAATATGATTAGTTATTTGTGCTTATGTCCATGGTTGTGTGTATATGTGTCAGTGTATTTTGGTCTATGTGCAGTTGTGGGTGATTATGTGCCTGACTGTAACATATGCCTGAATGAGTAGATTTACATACCCAGGTTGTTTTTAAGAGCATTTGTGTAGTTTGCATTTGTCTAGTTGCATCATGCTTGACTATATCTGTATATGAAAGACACATCTACCATGACCCACCCATTCCCATTTGGGGAAATTAAGGCCCAGAGAGCAAAATAGACTTGCTAAAAGTCACAGTGGGCCATGTGCAGAGCAGGGATCAGGACTGGGATCGAGGCCTCCCAATTCCCAGGACAGACCCTTGTTCACCCTGGAACACTTCTTCCCACATAGATACTCTGGGTAGTGGAGTGTATGTAGCATGATCTGCTTCACACACTGTGACTGAGTGTGATGGGAGTAAATGTGGGACTGTGTCTGAATATGATCACTAGCCTGCAAGTACCCAAGTGCCTGAGATTTGGGTGTCCCTGGATTCTCCCACTTTCTGGGCCTGTATTGCCCTTAATATCAAAATAAAATGGTTTGAGTCTTCTTCCTCACACAGTAGGTCGTCCATAACCACCCTGAAATATCTGAGATTCTACATAGCTCTTATTATTCTGGACATTTCCCTCCTCCTGGAGCCAGTGACCTTTCTCTTTCTACTCCTTCCTTTCTTCCAAAGCTCCCTGGAGCTATTGTGGTGTTGGAATTCTCTATGCCCAGAGGAAAACCAAAATTAAGGTTCAGGCTTTGCTGTCCTTCAAAGTTTATTATTCGTACTGGTCACATCATCCCAGAGGCCTTATCTCCCGGCCAAATACCTTTATTTCTGGACCCTTACCTTGTTGCCTCATCTTTCAGAGTCAAGCATGCCTGTTTAGCACCTGTCCTAAACCAAGGAGATCTCTCCTTAAAACAGACTTTGTTGCCCTGGCTGGTTTGGCTCAGTGGTTGGAGCATTGGCCTGCGGACCAGACGGTCCCGGGTTCGGTTCCTACTAGGAGCATGTACCAAAAAAACAAAACAAAACAACAACAGATTTTACTTTCCTCTCCAGAAAACCACTCTAATTCCAGCCATTTTGTTTTTATTGAAGTAAAATTTACATAACATAAAATGAGCCATTTAAAGTGTACAATTTAGTGGCATTTAGTACATTAAAAATGTTGTGCAAACACCACATCTATCTAGTTCCAGAACATTTCCATCACCCCACAAAGAAACCTTGTACCCATTAACAGTCACTTCTCATTCTCTCTTCCCCCTAACTCCTGGCAACTGCTAATTTCTGTCTCTGTAGATTTGCCTATTCTGGATATTTCATATAAATAGAATCATATAATATGTAACTTTTTGTGACTGGCTTCTTTCACTTGTTTTAGAGGTTCATCCACATTTTAACATGTATTATAACTTTATTCCTTTTATGGTTGAATAATATTCCATTGTATGAATGAACATTGCATTTATCCACTCATCTAATAATGGGCATTTGGGTTGTTTCCACCTGTTGGCGATTGTGAATAATATGGTCGTGTTTGAGTGCTTGTTTTCAGTTCTTGGGTATATACCTAGAAGGGAAATTGCTGGATCATAAGGTAACTCTAAGTTTAACTTTTTGAAGAATCATCAAACTGTTTTCTTTCTTTCTTTCTTTTTGTTCAGATAGAGTGGGAGGAAGAGAGAGAGAGAGAGAGAAACATCGATGTGAAAGGGACACATCAAGTGGCTGCCACCCGCACGACACAACCAGGGCCGGGCCGGGGACAAACTGCAACCAAGGTACATGCCCTTAGCGGGAACCGAACCCGGGTCTCTCTGGACTGCAGGCCGACGGTCTAACTGCTGAGCCAAATTGGCCAGGGCTCATCAAACTGTTTTCAACAGTAGCTGCACCATTTAATATTTGAGCCAGCAGTGTACTAGGGTTCCAATTTCTTTACACCCTTGACAACTATTAGTATATTCCTTTTATTTTTATTTTTTGCTTCACACCTGGTTGGTGTGAAGAGCTGGCTTTTACATTACTTTTTGCCCCCACTCCTCTTGTAGCACATGATAATTTTTTGTCATCTTGTGGCACACCAACTCTGATTGTGTGTCTGTGGTTGTCTATGTCTGGGCAAGGTAGTGTGTCTTTCCCTATCAGAATGTTTAATTCCATGTTGGTGTGTTGCCTGTGTTTGAATGAGTACACCCCCCTCCCCCATGGTTGGACATATGTACTGTACAATTGTGTGACTAAATAATTACATACTGTGACAGTAGTAGGTGGCGTGACTACGAAAGGTTGTCGATTTTATATGGTAGTGTCTGTGTCTGATGTTAGCTGTGTGTATAACTACATCATTGTATGTTTGTGAAGGGTTGTGTGCAGCTGGGTTGTTTTTTTTTTAATCCTTGCCCGAGGATATGTTTTTCCATTTATCTTCATATAGAGTGGAAGGGAGGGAGGGAAGGAGGGAGGGAGAAAGAGAGATCGAGTGGTTGCCTCCCACATGATCCAGACCAGAGCTGGGGACCAAACCACAACCGAGGTACATGGTACATGCCCTTGACCAGAATTGAACCCGGCCAATGCTCTAACCGCTGAGCCAAACTGGCCAGGGCTGCAGCTGGGTTTTATGCCTTTGTGTCTGAGGCTGCATCTATGTTTGACAGGATTGTATGACTGCATGTTCTATAGTTTTGTGACAGCATATCCAGCAAACCCCATGTGTCTGTCTAGTTGTAACTAAATCATGTCACTGTAATTGTATGGTTGTATGTGATTGGGTAATTGTGTGTGATTATGGCAGCACCTCTTTGTGTTATAAATTCTAAGTCTGAGGGATTGTGTGACTACAACAGTGTGCAACCAAATAGTATGTGGTTGTGTCTTCCTGACTACATGGTTTATGTAATGCACAGACAATTCTATGTGCAGGGACTACATGGTCAATGTAGCTAAGGAGATCAGGAATTTGTGTCACTATGTAATTGCATATTGTGTGTATATGTGTGAACTATATGTTGTGATGTGTGTCCATGTTGCCTCTACCCTGGGCTCCCAGGGCAGCACAGTGGAGGTCCCTGTTGAAGCACCTTGGATCCTGCCCCTGTATGGGACAGAAATCAGGGAGCAGAAAGACCCAGGGCAAGGGTTGGTGTGGGTCTCCTGCAAGTCAGGTACTTCCTGTGGTCCGATCCAATGGTTCCATCCCATCCAGGTGAGGGGGCCAACTCCTCCCCAGACCCAGCTGTAGTGGCACCAGCCTTAACCTCCACTTAGCCCCACTCCCTACAGTGCCCCCTGGGGGGTCTGTGGTAGAGGAAGCTGATTAGCAGGGGCCCCTATGCCACTGGGCCCGGCCCCAGAGAGTTCATAACCCAGGCAATTTCAAGCCAAGCTAACATGAAGCCCCAGCTTCTAGCCCTGCTACTCACCAGGGACAGAGCTTTGGCTGTTCTAGGCCCCCACCTGATAGCAGCCTCCAATGTCTGGGGTGTCTGATAATGCTTGGCCTGGCAAGGAGCTTGTGCCAAGTCCCGCCATCAGCATGGTTGCTTCTGTTTGGGGGGAGGGAGAGGGCTGCAGGGCCCCAGTTGAGGGATAGAGGGATATGGAAACCCCTTCCCAGAATCCCCATTCTGCCTGTCACCCCTCTCCAGGTAGGTAACTGAGAGAAGGCCTCCAAGTCTCTCCTTCTTTGGGGAGCCAGGGCCTTACTTTATCCAATGCCTGAACCCCCCAAAACTCTGAACCCCCAACCCCCAAACCTCTGAACTCCCAAACCCCAAACATCTGACTGGGCTTTGGATACAGGGTCAGTCTTTAAGACTCTGCCCCCAAACAGGCCAAGGCAAGGTCTGTTCCCCAGAAATGGTGACACCCCCACCCCGCCTTGCCTGACCCTTATCAGGGCCCACAGCCAATCAGCTGAAGGTAGAGAGGAGCCTTCCAAGAGGCCATCAGAGCTTCAGAGTCCACGAGGCTACAGAGTGAGAGGAGGCCTGAGGCTCTTGGATGGGCACCAGCCAGCCATGGCCACAGCTGACACCACCTTGCCTTCCATCAGTACGCTGGCTGCCCTAGGCCCCTTTCCAGACACACAGGAAGACTTCCTCAAGGTGAGGCCAGGCAGGGTCTAGGTGGCTGGCTGGGGTCTGGGGCTGCAGTCACAGAGCTTGGGGATCAGGTCTGCATCTAGCCCTGGAATCCAGAGACCTGGCCAGGGCTGGGGGTTCTCAGCCCAGTCCATGAGTCTAAAGATGGTCTAAGGGCCTATTTCTGTCTTGGAAAACTGAGGCTCCAAGCTGAACACCATGGGGGTCTAGGCTCAGTGAGAAAACCCCAGGTGTAAGAGGAAAAGAACAAGGGTGTCTAGGGAACGTCCAAGAATTAATCTTGGGAACTAATCTCATAGGTGGACTGGGAAGGAGTGGGAAATTCTGGGGGGAAATTGAGGCAAGGCTGCCCCTCTTCCATTCTTGGCTCTGCCATCCCCTTCCCCCATGCCTGAGTGCGGCTCCAGATAATGTTAGTCTTATCTCCTGTCACCAGACAGACCCTATAGACCTCTGTCCCTGAAACTAGGGGGGACTGGGGCAGCGTGAGGGAGTGGGACAAATTTTACAGACAAACAAGACCCCTTTCCGGAGCCTCTGGCCAGCCTGCCCCCATCAGGGAATCAGGCCCCCTTCGTCTCTGGGCATGGTACCCTGGTGACCACTGAAGCCTCACGCTACCGGCTCCCTCCCGCAGTGGTGGCGCTTTGAGGAGGTGCAGGACTTGGGCCCGGGTCCTCCGGACCCAACTCGGCCGCTCCTCCACGTGAGACCAAAATCGGAGGACGCGCCTGGGGAGGAAGAAGACCACAATAGGGACCCAGCCACTGCCTGGGACCTGGATCTCTTCTTTACCAACCTGCCGGGCCCAGAACCGAGCGGCGTGCCTCAGACCTGCGCTCTGGCGCCGGGCGAAGGTCCCACAACGCAATTCCCACCGGAGCCCGAGACCCTGGGAGCGTACGCGGGTGGCCCAGGGCTGGTGGCTGGGCTCTTGGGTCCCGAGGAGCACCCGGACTGGGCGCGCCCGGGTCCACGAGCCCCAGCCCCCGACACCTTCGTGAGCCCAGCCCTGGTCCCTGCCTCCGAGCCCAAAGCGCTGCCGCTGCTGCAGGTGTATCCGGGGCAGGGTGCGGGCTCCTCCGGCAGCTATTTTCCGCGGACGGGGCTTACAGTGCCTGCGGCGCCCAGCGCCCCCTATGGGCTGCTGTCCAGATACCCAGCGCTGTACCCGACCCCGCAGTACCAAGGGCACTTCCAGCTCTTCCGCGGGCTCCCGGCGCCCGCACCCGGCTCCGCCCCGCCTCCCTCCTTCTTGAATTGTCTGGGACCCGGAACAACGGGTGCGGGACTCGGGAGAACCGCAGGAGACCTAAGGGAGACCGTGGAGACCGTACCATCCAAGCGCAGCCGGCGCTCGTGGGCGCGCAAGAGGCAGGCGGCGCACACATGCACGCACCCGGGCTGCGGCAAGAGCTACACCAAGAGCTCGCACCTGAAGGCGCATCTACGGACGCACACAGGTGAGGCAGCAGGGCTCCGGCTCGGACTCGTAGGCGGGGCTGGAGGCGGAACCTCAGAAGCAGAGGCCTGGCTCAGGAGGCGGACCTGTAATGACAGAGGAGGGGCTAAAGCAGAGTCTCAGAGCAAGGGGCGGGACAGAGGCAGCTGGGAGCTGGCCTGGATCCTCAGAAGCAGGGTTAGGGGACAGATAGCCGTGTGGGAGGCGGCTGGGGGCAGAGAGAGGATCTGGAAAATCTGAGCAACGTTTCAGGGAACTGACGGGTAAGACCTGGGCTCGGGCTGAGGAGCATGAAGCCTGGCAGGTGGCGTAAGGGACAGGCCTACAGGAGGGGCCGCGTGGAGGGGCCAAGCTTGGCAAGCGAGGGACCTGGCCAAAGACACAGGGTTCAGGTTTGTGGCTAACGGGGAGCGGAGTTAGGGGCTCAGGGGCCAGAGCCAGGAGTATATAGAATAGGTTGTTTGCATGGAGCCAGACTGTAGGGTCCGTGTCTGTAGCTTAGGAGGGGAGATATGGGGGCAGAGTCAGTTTTATGTACAGATGCAGAGTGATTCGAGGAGGGTAAAGAGAAATAGCTGGAAAACAGAGGAGGGGGTGGGCACAAGAGAAGCTGGGTCTCAAGGAGCCGAAGACCAAGACCCGGCCACGGAATAGAGGTGGGTAGGAGGAAGAGTGAGACCTATGCTTTAGGGCAGCGATTTTCAAACCTTTTCATCTCATGGCACACACAAACTACTAAATTTCCGCGGCACACCAAAAATGTGTATTTTTTGCAGATCTAACAAAAAATAGGTATAATTTTGATTGATTTACAAAATAGTAGTAGTAGTAATTACCTACCCTTTTTACTCCAAAGTGACTTTTAAAAAAATATGTATTTTTTACCCTGGCTGGTTTGGCCCAGCGGTTAGAGCGTCGATCCGCAGACCAATGAGTTGTGGGTTCGATTCCGGTCAAGAACACGTACCTTGGTTGCGGTTCGTCCGCGGCCCTGGTCGGGGTAAGAGCCCGCGGCCCTGGTCGGGGTAAGAGCCCCGTACGGGAGGCAACCAGTCGATTTATATTTCTCATGTCGATGTTTTTCTCTCTCTTCCTTTCTCTCCTTCTCTCTCCCTCCCTCTCTATCGGAAGATAAATAGAAAAATATCTTTGAGGAGTAAAAATAAATAAATAAATAAACAAATAAATAAGTATTTTTTTATTTTTATTTTTTAGATAGGAAGAGAGAGGGGGAGAGATATAGAAACATCCATGAGAGAGAAACATTGAATGGCTGGCTGCCTCCTGCATGCCCCCGGTGGTCATGTGACCTCTTGGTGCAGGGAATGACACTCAATCCCCTGAACCACACTGGCAGGGCCAAAGTGACTTTTTAAAATCAGATGCCTATACTCATATAGATTTCTGGTACCGTCTGGCAGGTGTAGCTCAGTGGCTGAGCGTTGACCCATGCACCAAGAGGTCACTGGTTCGATTCCTGGTGAGGGCACATGCCCAGGTTTGGGCCCGATCCCCAGTATGAGGCATGCAGGAGGCGGCCAATCAACATTCTCTCTCATTGATGTTTCTCTCTTTCCCTCTCTCTCTAAAATCAATAAAAGGAAAAAACTTTTTAAAACAAGATTTCTGGTACCAAGAATTAACCAATCAGATGCAACCTTATTATGCGACTTGACCAATAAGATTCAATTCTATTATATGACTTAAATATTTATAGTTCAAGACAGGGCACTCCAGCTATTGTATTAGCTGTTGTCTTTTTGTTTTTTCTTCTTTATTGATTTGAGAAAAAGAGGAAGAGAGGGAGGGAGAGAGAGAGAGATAGAAACATTGAGGAGAGAAAACATTGATTGGCTGCCTCCCGCATGCCCCCCACTGGGGATTTGACCCACAGCCTGGGCATGTGCCCTGAACAGGAATTGAACTGGCAACCTCTTGGTGCATGGGTTGACACTCAACCACTGAGCCACACTGGCCTTAAACACTTAAACACTTAAAAAGTGTTGTCATTTTTTAATTTGACAATAAGGAAAAAGAGGTCAGTGCCCCTAACTAGTCAGGTACTGTATGTTTTAAAAATTCTTGTGGCGTCCGACTAGTGTGGCTCAGTGGTTGAGCATTGACCCATGCACCAAGAGTTTGCCAGTTCGGTTCCAGGTCAGGGCACATGCCCGGGTTGTGTGCCAAATCCCCAGTGGGGTGTCATGTGGGATGTGGCCAATCGATGTTCTCTTTCATCAGTGTTTCTATCTCTCTCTCCCTCTCCCTTCCTTTCTGTCTAAAATCAGTAAACAAAAAAATTTTTAAAATAAATAATTCATGTGGCACACCTGCGTGCCAGGACACACGGGTTGAGAATCGCTGGTTTAGGGGCCTGCATGGAGGGTGGGGCCACGTGTAGTAGGGGGAGAGCCTAATCACTGGCAGACAGGGCTTGGAACACCAAGTGGATTTCAAGACTCTAAGGATCAAGGCCAGGGGCAGGGTTGGGCAGCAGCTGGAGGGTTCCCTGAAGCAAGGAAGGGGCTAGGCCACATGGGACAGGGCCAGAGGATGAGGGTAGGATGACTTTAGGACACACGGGCAAGGTTCCAGGACACAGGAAATAGGCCAGTGGTGCAGAGAATGTGACTTGGGCCTAGGAAATGAAAATAGGCTTGGGGCCAGATGTAGGTAGAGAAAAAGAAGGGTCGGGGTCATAGAGGGACGAACCTGGGTGGACCCTCCTGCGAGTGGGTGCCTCAAGTTTTGCACCCATAGTGCCTCACCCCATCCTGCTCCTGATCAAGGCTGAGCAAAGGAATGAGGCCAGATGCAGAGGCAGACCCAGGGAAGGGGTGGGCGGATAATAGCACTCACTGTTTCTTTGTCTTTCAGGGGAGAAGCCATATGCCTGCACGTGGGACGGCTGTGGCTGGCGGTTCGCACGCTCCGACGAGCTGACCCGCCACTACAGGAAACATACTGGACAGCGCCCCTTCCGCTGCCAGCTCTGCCCGCGCGCTTTTTCGCGCTCGGATCACCTGGCCTTGCACATGAAGCGTCACCTTTGAGCCACACCACCACCCTGGACCTGGCCCTTGGACCTTCCCGAGGACTGGGGATGGAACAAGACCAGATCAACACAGGGTGGTTTTCTTTCGGATGGACCCTTACCTGGACTCTTAACCCCACAGATCCCCAGAAAGATCAAGGACTGGCCCATAGACAGACCTGGGGGAGCCTCCAGCTGGAAGCTCCCACATGTCCTCAGCCACAGGGAGCCACACAGAGACTTCTAGGGTCAGGCAGACCCAATGAGACAGATCTCCAAACAAATGAACTCAGATGGACATTCAGACACTTCAGACAGAGAGACAGACTCTCAGAGAGCTGGACCCTCAGGCCAGATCAGAGGTGGCCCTGGACAGTGCCAGGAGTTATGGGGTGAAGCTTTTAGAGACTCTGGGTCTAGAAGGGATCTTCACACCTTAATTTCTGAAGCTCCACATAGTGGGTGGCATCTGCTGTGAATGGTTATGGGTCCTGTACTAATGCCCCTGCTAGATAAAGCTTCAGCTGTAGCCCGGCTGGTGTGGCTCAGTGGTTGAGCATTGACCCATGCACCAAGAGGTCACCGGTTCGATTTCCGGTCAGGGCACATGCCCAGGTTGTGGGCCTGAATCCCCAGTGGGGGGCATGCAGGAGGCGGCCAATCCATGTTCTCTCTCATCAATGTTTCTGTCTCTCTCCCTCTAATATCAATAAAAAAAAATTTATTATTTTTTTAAAGCTTCAGCTGTGGCCTGACCTTGTGAGTTTTGCATGCTGGAAGATGGGAGGAAGCTGTAACCCCAGAGGTGATTTTGTGGGGAATACCATCACATTCATCTTCTAAACTTCAGAGACACCCCTTGGATACTGCAGGCCTTGCCTCCCCTCCTTCCCCCACCCCAAGATCAGGCTACATCTTCCTTGCCTCATGCCTTTAACCTCAGGGACATTCTCAGGGACCATCTGCCTCTATTTATGAGGCCTCAGTCAGGCCCCAGAGCCATAGCGCCCTTGGCCATGCCATGATCCAAAGTGACCCCTTGGCTAGATCAGAAGATGTCCGGGAAAACATGCAGAAAGAAGAGGGAGAGGCCCTGGCCGGTTTGGCTCAGTGGTTAGAGCGTCGGCCTGTGGGCCGGAGAGACCCCGGTTCGGTTCCCGCTAAGGGCATGTACTTCGGTTGCAGTTTGTCCCCGGCCCTGGTTGGGTAGTGTGGGTGGCGACCACTCGATGGGTCCCTTTTATGTCAATGTTTCTCTCTCTCTCTTCCTCGCTCTCCCTCCCGCTCTATCTGAACAAAGAATGGAAAAATGTCCTCCGGTGAGGATACCAAAAAAAAGGGGGGGGGGGAGAGGACTCGCTCTGGTCGGTGTTGCTCAGTGGTGAGAGCATTGGCCCACGCACGGAAAGGTCGCAGGTTTGAATCCCGGCCAAGAACACGTACCTGGGTTGCGGGTTCGATCCCCGGCCCAGTCAGGGCATGTGCAGGGGGCAACCGATTGATGTGTCTCACATCGATGTTTCTCTCTCCCCTCTCCCACCTTCTCTTCCACTTTCTCTGAAAAATCAATGGAAAAAATATTTTGGGGTGAAGATTAACAAAACAAGGAACGAACAAAAGGAGCAGAAACTCCCCTTAAGAAAACAAGCGTCCCAAGAGTTGGACCTCGAACTATCAATCTGGAAAGGAAAAAAAAAACAATTTTGCGTCCACTCAGAAACCGAGGGAGAAGCAGGGTCTGGCGAGAGAGGGGATTGGGATTAACCAGAATCAAAAGAGGCAGAGGTGGGATGTGAGCAGTGATTGGCCAGGAGTAGAGTCAGAGCCGGGACACCGGAAACCTCTCGCCTATAAAAGGGCGTGGTCTGGGACAAATCAGAGGGTGGAGCCTATCAAGGGTCGAATCCACTGGAAGTAGGAGGCCACCGTAGGCTGGTCGGGTGGGGACCGGACCTTTAGGGAGTGAGCGCCGGAAAGAAAGCCCCGCCCCAGAAGACCCGGGACTGCCTTTTCAAATCTCTGCTTCTCATCTTAGGGGCGGGGTTTCCATCCCGTGAGGTCCCGCCCCGGGTTCTCAGGAGGGTTTGGGGAAATGAAAGTCTCCGAGGACCGGGCCTGGCCCAACTCGTGATCCGGCGCCCCGCGGTCCCAATACAGATTCCTTGACTCCAGCCCCATGGCCGCGCTTAGCCCACTGCTCCTGGCCGCGCTGCTATGGGTTCCTGCAGGGACCTTGACCTGCTATGGGGACTCGGGGCAGCCTGTGGACTGGTGAGTGCGCATGCGCTGACCATTCCTTTGGGGCCGGACTGCGGTTTGCTGCACTCGGGTGAAGCCTAGGGCTCCTTCTCTTTCCCTTCCTTCATTTCTGTCCATTCCTCAACCTCCAGGTTCGTCGTCTACAAGCTGCCGGCCCACAGCAGGCCCGGGGCTGAGGCTCAGACGGGGCTGCGGTATAAGTACTTGGATGAGGGCTCAGGGGGCTGGCGCGACGGCACGGTGTCCATCGACAGCTTGGCGGGAGCCGTAGGGCGCAGCTTGCAGCCGCTGTACCAGAACACCAGCCAGGTGAAGGGTCGAGGTGCCGATAGACCTAGGGTGGGACTCTAGGGGAGGGGGCGGCTTGGGGAAAACTAAATGTCGCCCGTCCATCTCCCCCAGCTCGCCTTCCTACTTTACAATGACCAGCCGCCTAATAACTATGGGACTCAGAACTCTTCCAGCCGGGGGCACACGAAGGGTGAGGCCCGGATTGGGGGCTGGGGAAGGGCTCTGGTTTCCTTATACATTTTCCCCAGCTAACTCCTGACCTGCAGGGGTGGGAGGGGGCTCCTCATCTTATATAAACATTGTCCTTTCTCTGGAGTATGACAACAGTGGGCTTCAGAAAGGGTTCAGCAGTGGTCCAGATACTGCCCAGGCTCCCTGCAAACTAAGATGTTCCTGGTTGCATATGTGCCTGTTGGGATGCCTTGAGCAGTTGCCCTGATCTAGTCTTTTGGTTCAGGTGTGCTGCTTCTGGACAAAGAAGGGGGCTTCTGGCTGATCCACAGCGTTCCCGGATTCCCTCCACATGCTTCATATGGCTGGCCTCCTAATGCCCAAAAATATGGGCAGACCCTGCTCTGCGTGTCTTTTCCATTCGACCAATTCTCAAAGATTGGTGAGTGGGCACAGGAGGCAGGGTGATTCCCAGATCAGAATGTGGAACAGTCCCTTATTTTCTCCTCCCCTTGCCCTCCAGGAAGACAGCTGAACTACACCTACCCCCTTGTGTATGCCCACAAGCTAGAAGGGGTCTTCATCAAGAAATTACCTGACCTGGAGGAGGTGGTCAAGGGGCTCCATGTTCACCAAAGACCCTGGAACAGCAGTGTAACACTCACATCAAAGGCAGGGGTCACCTTCCAGAGCTTTGCCAAATTTGGAAAGTTTGGAGATGGTGAGCCCTAAGGTTGTGGGTTGAAGAATTCTTTCTCTGCAGAGGTGGTGTCAGATGTGTCCATGGCTGAGGGAAGGTTGGAAGTAGGAACTAGAACTCTTTGAGAACCATAAACACATGAGAGGTAGACAACCAACAGACCTGGGTTCAGTCATTGGTTTCTGGTTGTGTGGTACATGATTTAACTGAACTCTCAGTTTGCTCATCTGAAAAAATGGGGGTACTAATATCTACTGTAAAGGGTTGTGAATGAAGTGATGCATATAGTGTTTAGTAAGAGCTGTTAGTCTTTCTTTTAAACATATTTTTATTAATTTTTTTAGAGAGAGAGATAGGAACATCCATGTGAGAGAGAAACATCAGTTGGCTGCCTCCTGCATGCCCCCTACTGGGAATTGAGCCGACAATCCTGGCATGTGCCCTGACTGGGAATCGAACCAGGACCTTTCAGTCCATGGGAGGACGTCCAATCCACTGAGCTACACTGACCAGGCAAGAGCTGTTAGTCTTAATGTTGTTATTCTCCAGATTGCTGGGAATTGACACTGAGGAAAATGAGCTCAGAGAGGGCCAGAAGCCTAGAGATTCCCTACCAGTGACCCTAACCCTGTCCATGCTGTCTTTTCATCCTCTTGCAGACCTCTACTCTGGTTGGTTGGCAGAAGCCCTTGGCAGCAATCTGCAGGTCCAGTTCTGGCAACACTCTCATGGCATCCTGCCCTCCAACTGCTCTGGGGCTCAGCAAGTGCTGGATGTGACCCAGATAGCCTTCCCTGGGCCAGGTGGGCCCACCTTCAATACCACAGATGACCACTCCAAGTGGTGTGTAGCCCCAGAAGGGCCCTGGGTCTGTGTGGGTGACATGAATCGGAACTGTGGAGAGGAGCACCGAGGTGGGGGCACACTGTGTACCCAGCTGCCTGCCCTTTGGAAGGCTTTCCAGCCTCTGGTGAAGGCCTGGGAGCCTTGTGGGAAGAAAGCAGTATCTTGTCTCCAGGAGGTGCAGCAGAACATATGAGAGCTAAGACTTAGGAGCCAATTTGGACTCAGTTTAAACTCCAGTTTAGTCCCTTATTGTGACCTTAACTATGTGCCTTAACCTGTGACAGCCTACTCATCTGCAAAATGGGAACCACAACATTTGACTCAGGATTTGTGAGGAATAAAAGGAAACTGGTAGATGGGGTTGTTAACCTTTCCTTCAGGTGGGCACTGGGACTCAGAACAGTGCTGCAAATTCCTGAGGGTCTGGGGGCAGCTGACTCATAGGTGAGACCACAAGGAAAGGTCTAATAAGACTCACCTCCCCTCTCTATGATAACCAGGACTGGAGTTCCACCCCGAACAAGAACACCAGCAAGGGGGTTGAAACCTTGCTTTGTTGGGGAGGAGGGGCAAGCCTCACAAAGCTCAGGAAGCACAGACGCACTTTATTTATATGTGTACATATGTATACAGGCGGCTGTACAGTGCAGGGCCACGGGTCCCCTCAGCTATGGGCCAGGGGGCGTGGGGCAGGGTGCCCTTTTAGTCAGGCCTGATGGGGGCCCAGCTTCAGCAGGGTACCTGGAAGTCAGCCCCACCTCAGGCTTGGTGGCTGGAACAAGAACAGGAGTGGGTGGAATTGGGGGCCCTGTGCTGCTTGATGCATTTTTCACATGGGCTACAGAAAGGGTCTGGGCCTCCAGGGTCAGCTTGGGGGAGGTGGACTTGGAGTGAGGCCCGCTCAGCGTGGGTCTCTCCTCCACCATCTCTAGAACCCAGCTTTCCGAGCCTTGGAGAGACTCTAGTGCGGGAGGCACCAGGGGTATGGATCCCAATAACCCCTTAGAGTCTGAGCATGGAGGCTGGGGCACCTCAACCTTGGCCCCCAGCCGCTGGGGCTCTACAACAATGGGCACTGGAGGTGTGCCCACCTCACCAGAGCTGCTACGCCGGCCTGTTTCATGTTCTTGTACAGGGCTCAGTGCGGCCTTGGCGACGGCCCTAGCGGCCCCGCCCACGCCATCCTCGGTCTGCACGCTCTGGTGCCGCGTGCCGCTGGCATCCCGCTCCAGGGTCCGGCCCCCAGTAGGTGTCGCGCGGGGCTGGGTGCAGGCCTCCACACCACCGAGGGACTCCTCTTTACTCGATGCCCCTGTAGGCCTGGGGGTGCCCTGGGGCAGCAGTGGGTCCACGCCCAGGCTGAGGGGTGACTCCTGACGGCCCAGGCGGCGAACAGCAACCTGCCGGGGCATGCCAGGCCCCTCGACAGGAGGCGTCTCACCATCAGACTCAGCCAGGCTATGAAGAGCCAGCTCACCGTGGAAGTCCTTGCGGAAATCCGGGTGGCCCACCTCAAGGCTGTGTTTACGCAGCGCGCCCTTCTTGTCAGTGCCAAGCGAGGCTCCCAGCTTCTCTGCTGACTGCACACGTTTGAGAAGCGGCGAGCGCGGGGGCTCCGCACTTTTGGGGCGCGGGCGCACCACCGGAGGTGATGAGTGCAGCTTGGCTGGGAAGCTCTGTGTCGTGTGTGAGCTCCCCACTGTGTGGCCTGGCAGTGGTGGCGGTGATGCTTGCGTTGGGGATGGCGTGTGCGCCAGCGGCGACAGCGGGATGTTGCCGGCCGACTTGCAGCGTGCAGATCGGTACTGGCGGTGTAGCTTGGGCGATAGGCCGTGCAGCGTGCTGGGTCGGATGTGGTGGGATGCTGACGATGCCGGCGAATTGGGCGTGCTCGAGGCGGGCGAGCTGCTTTGGGACGAGGCACCTGTGGGTAGGCAAGAGGGGCTGTTGTGCACAGCAGGCACCGCCAGGGGACCCCTTTGGTCACCTAGTGCTTGTCTCAGCGCAGGCCCGCAGCTTACCTAGGTAGGCGGAGTCAGGTGTGGAGCGGTAGCTGTGGGTTGGTGAGCGCGCTGGAAGCCCGTGGGTGGGCGAGCCTGGGAGGCTGTCGCTGGAGGACAGCGAGCGGTTTAGCGACGACAGGGAGCGGCTAGTGTGCAGCAAGTTCGACTGTTTCGTGATCTTGCGGAAGAGGGAGCTGCGCTTCTTGCTGGGGAACAAGGAAAGGGTCATCTACCTTAGACCAGACTCCGAAACTCTCGGCTCCTCCTATTTCAGCCCCTGGGACCACCTATTCCTCTGGCCCCGCCCTCTCCAGCTACAGCTACAACCCACCTATCAAAACCGAAAGAATTTCTCACAGGAGTCGCTTGACTCCTCCCACCTCAGGTCTCACCCATTTTTGCTGGCCACTACCAGTCCAAACTAGAGACGTCTGTCAAAGCAGCACCAACATTTCTGGCCCCGTCCACCTCTCTAGCCCCTCTCTCCAGCTACAGTCGAAGCGCGAAGTGGCGATAGACAACTGTATAGTAAATTCGCGGAAATTCATGTATTGCGGTAAAGTCTGGAACTGATTAACCGCGATAAATGAGGGCCAACTGTATAATCCACCTATCTGGGTGGGAAGAAGTTCACCTGACTCAGTTCTGTCTGGCTCCTCTCATTTATTTATTTTTAATGTTTTTATTGAATTTTTAGAGAAATAAAAACATTTGTGTGAGAGATGGGCCGCCTCCTGTACGCCCCCTACTGGGAATCAAGCCAGCAACCTGGGCATGTACCCTGACCAGGAACTGAAGTGGGACCTCTCAATTTATGGGAGGACGCTCAATCCACTGAGCCACACTGGCCTGGCTGGCTCCTCTCATTCAAATCCCCACTCACGACTTGTCCAGGTCAAACCCACTAATCAAATCAGAACTCTCCTGGCCCCAGCTACCTCTCCTAGCTCCTCCTACCTATTAGAAAAGACATTATTTCAATTGGCCCAGTCTTGCCTGACTTGCTCATTCCAGATAGAAATTCCTTCTCTCAGCCTCTCCCAGTCATCTACATATTCAACTGGACAAGATACTACCACAATGCTCTTCTTGTAGCCTAGGAACCTGGCACAGCTTCCTTTTCTGGCTCCTTCCATTTTCCCAGCTTCTCCGCTGTCCTCTTTGCTCCTTACTTAGTGGCCCCACACTTCTTTCTCCTGTCCTCACCTGTGGCCCTGCCCACTGTTCAAAACCTGGAGTGTTCCAGCTGCCTACTGCGTATAGCCCCACCCACTGCACTTGGCCCCACCCACCTCTCCTGGCCCTCCTTAGCCGAGGGTCTCTTGTTCCTCCGAGCCATTTTGGCCTTGTAGCTGCTGCGCCTTGCAGGGCCAATGCGAATGGAGGTATTTTCAAAGGGTGTTGTTGTCACTGCTACCTTGTTGCCACTCTGGGGTAAGAAGAGAGGCAAATGTTCAGGCAGCTCCAGCTCCCAGGACATTCCCTCCAGCCTCTCCCCTGTGTACTACTTCCCTTGCACTCACCTTAAGGATCAGCTCCACGACCTCAGGATGCACCATGCCATGCACAGGCTCCCCATTCACGTGGGTGATGAGGTCCCCCGCACAGAGCCCTGCCTCCTGGGCTGGGCCCCCCTCCTCCACATGCTGGGGACAGGGTACCACACAGGGCAAGGTTAACAGGATTAGCGACAAGGAAGTTCCCTAAGCTTATGTGCCCTACACCAAGCTCTGCATGTACTGTAATCCTTGTAACATCTTCTGAAATAGTAAATTTTTTTTTCCAGTTTACAGCTGAAGAAACTGAAGCTCAGATGGGGAAGGACACTGCAGGTCACAGGAGTCTCTTCCAGGCTGCCTGGATCCAGAGATTGAGCTGTCTCTCATCCCTGGGAGTTAAGGGAGGGGCTTCTCTCCCTCCACTCCCCACCTTGTAACACAGACCCCACCCATAAGTGCTCACCCAGACAATGTGATGGACACTGTAGACATCCGAGTCACCCATGTAGACACGGATGGCTCGCAGTGTGAAGCCGTACTTCTTGCCAGAGCGTTGGATGGTAATAGGGGAGCGGAGCCCACTGACAGCGGGTGAGTAGTCCCGGCTGGGTGAGGAGTCCCTCGAGGATGGATTAGAGGAAAGAGATCTTGGGGACATGGGGCTGGCCAGGGGTGAGCTTCCATGGGGATCCACTGCAGAGACAGAACCATGGTCAGAGATCAAGGCCAGCTGTCACAGCTCTCTCTGTATCTGCTCCTCCCACCTTCCTAGTCCAATTCCCAGGGCTCTCATTGGTCCACCCCAGTGTCAATCACTATGGACAGGGAAAATGCAGTGTCCTCATTGGCCTGTCCTGGCACAAATGGGGACAAGACCCTCCTTGTCAGGTGGGGCCCAATATCACCTGCAGGAATCATGACAGACAAAGCAGTGGCTGAGGCTGATTTGATGACTTTGCCCCCAGTTCGAGAAGGCCGCTTCTCTACTGCGGGGTCTCCTGACAGCTGCTGATGCCGCGCTCGGCGCAGAACTAGGTCATTGGTGGCCCTCGGGCCTGATAGGTCTCCATCCTTCGAAGGCGGGCAGAGGTCACCTGGACGCGGTCGGTCAGCTGCAACACAGCAGGTGGGTTAGGAGCCGGTCCAAGGTCATGGACATCTTACATATGTTCACTCTTCCTGGAATGCTTTTCCCACTCCTCGTCCTTGTTGGAATGTGAGTTTTCTGAGAGCAAGTAACATGCACCTGGCACAGAGAAGTGCTCAGATACATTTGTTGACTGACCGAGCATGGAATGTGGAGTGTTCCTCATGTTGATGAGAACCCAGATTGGAGTGTGTAGAGTACATGAGATCTTGCATAAACAGTACCAGGCTCATTGAATGCTCAATGCATGGCCACTGGGGAACTAAGGAAGGCGGCAGGAGGGGGCACTCACTGGCTTCGGAATCCCCAGCGCTGGCGATGCCATCCCCTTGAGCTGCCTCTTTGGAGACCCGTGCATCCAGCGAGCAAGGGGGATCAGAGCTAGGCCTGGGAGACCTGCGCAGCTGGGCCTCATCCTCATCCTCTTGGGGGGCGCTGAAGCGGCTGGGTTCCAGCAGTGCCGAGAAACGGCGGCGTGCACCCAACGGAGGACTGGCCTCCCCCTCCAGGAAGCTGGCCTCAGACGCAGAGAAGCGCTTGCTGCAGAAAGGGGGCGTGGTCAGAGGCGGCACGCCCCTTCATCCCCGCTCCCCAAACCTAGCCCTACCCTTGCTCACATCTCTGGAGAGCCCCCTCTCCAGCTCTTCTCGCGCAGGGTCAGGCTACCCAGGCCCTCCCGCTTGCCGGCCACCTTCTCCTCTAGAC